CTGGTCTGTGCTCAAGGCGCCTAAGGTTGATCTCAAACCACTTCCTAAAGGTCTAAGGTACGCATTCCTTGGTCCAAACTCTACTTACCCTGTGATCATTAATGCTGAGTTAAATGATGATGAAGGGAACCTGCTATTATCTGAGCTTAGAAAGTATAAGAGAGCCATTGGTTATTCATTAATCGACATTAAGGAAATTTCACCTAGTTTATCCAACCATATGATCCATCTTGAAAACGAATCCTATTCTAGCATTGAACCACAAAGGAGGTTAAATCCCAACTTGAAAGAAGTAGTGAAAAAAGAACTTTTGAAACTGCTTGATGTTGGTGTCATCTACCCTATCTCTGATAGTACTTGGGTTTCTCCAGTGCATTGCGTCTCTAAAAAGGCGGGATGACTGTTGTTAAAAATGAAAAGGATGAATTGATCCCTACTAGAACTATAACTGGTCATAGAATGTGTATCGATTATAGAAAGTTAAATGCTGCATCTAGGAAAGATCATTTTCCTTTGCCATTCATTGACCAAATGCTTGAACGTTTAGCTAATCATCCATACTATTGCTTTCTTGATGGATATAGTGGTTTCTTTCAAATACCAATTCACCCTAATGATCAAGAAAAAAACACTTTCACATGTCCTTATGGAAATTTTGCTTATAAGAGAATGTCGTTTGGTTTATGCAATGCTCCTGCAACGTTTCAGAGGTGTATGACCTCAATATTTTCAGATTTAATTGAGGAGATGGTGGAGGTTTTCATGGACAATTTTTCGGTCTATGGCCCCTCTTTCTCCTCATGTTTGTTGAATCTTGGCAGGGTATTGACCAGGTGCGAAGAGACGAATCTTGTTCTCAATTGGGAAAAGTGTCATTTCATGGTGAAGGAATGCATAGTGTTGGGTCACAAGATATCAGAGAAAGATATAGAGGTTGACAAAGGAAAAATTGAAGTGATGATGCAGTTGCAGCCACCAAAAACGGTGAAGGACATCAGAAGTTTCCTTGGTCATGCTAGGTTCTACAGAAGATTTATTAACGACTTCTCCAAGATAGCCAAGCCGTTAACCAGACTATTGTGCAAGGAGACCGAATTTGAATTCGATGAGGACTGCCTCAAATCCTTTCACACCATCAAGGATGCTTTGGTATCTGCTCCTATTGTTCGAGCGCCTAATTGGGACTATCCATTTGAGATTATGTGTAATGCATCAGATTACGCAGTAGGAGCTGTTTTAGGCCAGAAAATAGACAAGAAGCTTCATGTCATATATTACGCCAGCCGAACGTTGGATGAAGCTCAAGGAAGATATGCAACAACTGAGAAGGAGCTTCTAGCTGTTGTATTCGCATTAGAGAAGTTCAGAAGCTATTTGGTTGGATCAAAGGTCACTGTCTATACAGACCATGCAGCTTTGAGGCAACTGTATGCCAAGAAGGATACTAAACCAAGACTGTTGAGATGGATACTTCTATTGAAGAGTTTGACATGGAGATAGTAGATAAGAAAGGCATTGAAAATGGTGCAGCTGACCATCTGTCAAGGATGAGAATTGAAGAACCCCTTCCGATAGACGATTCAATGCCAGAAGAGCAGCTCATGGTTGTAGAGTTCTTCGGAAGGAGCTACAGTGGGAAAGAGTTCCACCAACTGAATGCTGTTGAAGGAGAATCTCCATGGTATGCTGATCACGTGAATTACTTGACATGCGGAGTAGAGCCTCCCAACCTGACAAGTTATGAAAGGAAAAAGTTTTTCAGAGACATACACCATTACTACTGGGATGAGCCTTATCTTTACACTCTCTATAAAGATAAGATCTATAGGAGATGCATCTGAGAAGATGAAGTGGAAGGTATCCTGCTGCATTGCCATGGCTCAGCATATGGTGGTCACTTCGCGACGTTCAAGACAATGTCAAAGATTCTTCAAGCAGGCTTTTGGTGGCCAACAATGTTTAAAGACGCTCAGGAGTTTGTTTCAAAGTGTGATTCATGCCAGAGAAAAGGCAACATCAGTAGAAGAAATGAGATGCCTCAGAATCCAATCTTGGAAGTCGAGATCTTTGATGTATGGGGAATTGATTTTATGGGTTCCCATCTTCATACGGTAACAAGTATATACTAGTCGTCGTAGACTACGTATCAAAGTGGGTCGAAGCTATTGCTAGTCCTACCAACGATGCAAAAGTTGTGCTGAAGCTGTTCAAGATCATAATCTTCACGAGATTTGGAGTTCCCAGGGTAGTAATCAGTGATGGTGGGAAGCATTTCATCAACAAGGTTTTTGAGAACCTCTTGAAGAAGCATGGAGTAAAGCACAAGGTCGCCACTCCCTATCATCCACAGACGAGCGGGCAGGTTGAGATCTCCAATAGGGAGATAAAAACAATTCTGGAAAAGACTGTTGGGATTACAAGGAAAGACTGGTCTACAAAGCTCGATGACACATTATGGGCTTACAGAACAGCCTTCAAGACCCCCATTGGTACAACTCCTTTCAATCTTCTTTATGGAAAATCATGGCACCTGCCTGTTGAGCTCGAGTACAAAGCAATGTGGGCAGTAAAACTCCTGAACTTTGACATAAAAATCACTGAGGAGAAACGGTTGATCCAACTCAGTGACCTTGATGAGATCGGTTTAGAAGCTTATGAGAGCTCTAAAATCTACAAGGAGAAAACTAAGCTTTTCCATGACAAAGAGATCATCACCAAGGATTTTCATGTTGGTGATCAGGTGCTGCTGTTCAACTCTTGCTTGAAACTCTTTCCAGGAAAGCTTAAATCCAGATGGTTTGGCCCCTTCTGTATCACTGAGGTCCGTCCTTATTGAGCAGTCACTCTAGCTGGTAAGAGTGGAGACTTCACAGTAAATGGTCAAAGGCTCAAGAAATACTTAGCGGATCAAATCCTTCTAGAGGTGACATCGGTTCATCTCCAGGAACTTCTTGATGATTAATGGAGTAAAGGAGTCGAGCTAATGACTATTTCTGTAAATAAATTTTTCTTTTCTTGTTATCTTTGACTTTTCTTAGTTGTGTTTGTGCTTCTCAGGAACAACGGAACAGCGTGGAGATTAAGTAAAAATTCAAAAATTTTACTCTACAGAAGACCTGGAGATCGAGTATATGGCCTAGTGGAGTGCAAAATTTTGAAAGTTTTCTGTTGCATCTGGAGACCCTGAATTCGAGTACATCAGTCGAGTATATGTGATGTTTAAAACCCAAAAACTTTTAAATCATCACTGTACTCGACCAACAGGAGCTACAGAGACTTGCAGAGATTTTCTGCAGCTTACAGTAGATTTCCTGCAGTTTTTCCCAGTCACAGAGTGTGGACCACGCACTAAGGATAAGATGGAGAGAGAATGTCAAACTCAATTTTGACCACACCTTTCGAAAAATCACTCGACCAACCTATCTTCATTCTTTTTCAACCACTCGACCTAATTCAACCTCTCTTCCTCACCGCACTTCGCAAAAATTCACCACCTCACACTTGACCCCATACGAGTACTCGACCTCCAAAAAGCACTCGACCTCCGCGCCGCCGTCACCAGTTCATTTCCCCCGTCACTCGACCTTTTCACTTCGCCGTTCGCCATCACTTTGTTCTCACTTTGTCACTCGACCACCTCTGCGCCGCCGCAGTCGATTCCCTACCTTGTTCACCGTACTACTCGATTACGAAAAGAGGACTCAACCATCGATTTGTGGTTTCGACCATACGAATTCCGGCTCACCGAAGGATTACCCAACCTCTGGACTTCACCGGCTGAACTCGACCTCGATGATTCACTCGACCTCCTGGAGCCGACCACTCGACCAAGCTTCACGTTTCAAGATTCCAGGCTTCAATTCCGGTTCACTGAGGAACTACTCGACCGCTGGTTCTAGCAAATCAGCAGACCCACTCGACTTCAGAAAAATTACTCAACCGCGGTCTGTACATTACTCGATCCAGTTCGTCTAAAAGGAACTCGGAAACAGCTCAGTTTACTCGAGTACAAGATTGTGCTCGACCAATTTGGTCCATTTCATTGCCTGTTGATAATAATTTTGGTTTCATTGTTATCTTTGATACTAACATATTGACATTTGAGTTTTGAGTTCAAAATTTCTACAGGAGAATCATGAGTAATTACAGTGGCAATTCTTCTGTTGATCCTGACTACAACAGGGATGAGATAGAGTCGTCGTCTTCAAGGCCAGAGAGAGAACAAAGAGAATATGATAGCTTCAGAAGAAAAGTTGAGATAGCCCGAGGGAAGAGAGCGATGACAGAGAGGTATGAGCTTATAGATGAGGATCTGGAAGACGAGTACATGCCTGAGCATCCTCGCAGAGCCACCAAAATTCTGCACAAAGCCGATGTATTGCCTGCTGAGGAATATATTAGGCTCTTCAAACTGAATGAGTTCTGTAGCACGAGATATCCTTGCTCGACCACACTTGCACAACTCGGATTGTTGGAGGATGTTCAGCACCTGTACCAGAGTTGTCATCTGGACACTGTGATGGCTTATCCGTATGTAGCATATGAAGAAGAGACAATTCAATTCCTCTCCACGCTGCATGTGGAGCTCTACCAAGGTATGACCTCCAATGAGTTGGATTGTGAAGGATTGGGATTCTAGAGATTCTCTGTGTATGGTCATGAGTATAGGTTATCAATCAAGCGCTTGGAAGGATTGTTTGGTTTCCCCAGTGGAACGGGAACTAAGCCCAAGTATGATAGAGAAGAGTTGAAAGACTTGTGGATCACCATTGGCAGCTCTGTACTGCTCAATTCTTCCAGGTCAAAGAGGAATCAGATACGTAGCCCTGTCATCAGGTACTTCTAGCGTTCTATAGCCAATGTACTCTACTCCCGAGAGATCACAACGATTGTTACTAATTCTGATATGGAGATGATCGCTATGGCTCTCAAGGGAACTCTTCGCCAAACTAAGAACGGCATGTCTCTCCAAGGTGAAATCAATGACACACCTCTCTCTGTACTAGCATGTATCACTTTGGTGAACATGTACCTCTAGCGAGGGAGAGCAAGAGCTTGAGTGAAGCTCATAGGAACAACAGTAAACTGCAGAAGTGGTGCAAGAAGCAGGACAAGCTGCTCGCCAAGTGTTTCAAGACTATCAAGTTTCTAACAGATAAGCTGAGTTGTTCCTCCTCCACTACTGCTATTCCACAGGGACAACCTCCTCTAGAGATGCCATCGAGGAGATTTGAAGAGCCTGAGCACATGCATGAGCTTAGTGAGCACAGAGTCTCACATGTCCCGGCTAGGCATTCGTCATTCGAGTCCCGGGAGCACAAGAGAAGGAGGAAGGCTACACTCACTCGATCTAGCAGCAGATCACGCATAATTCACTCGAGGAGATCACTCGACCGCGGTGCTGGCCGCAGAAGAAGAAGGGAGGTCGAGTATCCTCAGGGCGGTGCTGGCCGCCACAAAGCTGATGAGGTCGAGTACCCACCTGCTGGAGCTGATACGGAACAAGGCGGTTCGTCTATGGCCTGGGAGCAATCACAGGCAGCCATTGACGACCAACTTTGTTCATTCTTCGACTGAGGTAAGCGCCTCACTTCACCATTGTATTATATCATCTGTTGTGATTTGTTCTTCATTTTGTTTCTGTGATTGGATTTGTCCTGAGTAATCTCTTCCAAGTTAATTCACACAGTGGACTGTGTGATTTAAGTTTGGGGGAGGGCTCAGGAAGTGTGTGTGGCATTATTTATATTTTTGAGTTTGCATTCATGTAAGGCATAGAAAAACCCAAAAAAATTGAAAATTTTCAGAAAATGATTTCACAAAAAAAAGTGTTCATGTAGTTGCATTACATTTAGGATCGAGTCTAGAGTGTTTCATTTAGGATTGTTGCATATGCATAGGGGATAATGATGAGATAGCCTTGTAAGCATTTTGGTTCAACGGATAAAGTCAGTGCCCTCGTTGCTAGTTGTTTGTTGCGTAGTCAATGAATTTGAAATAAAACTGAACCATGCCTAGATTGCTCTACTCGACCACAATGTCATGATCTGATACCATTCCCTATCAATTTGAACCTGAATCTGATCTTTAATTATCATGTGTGCATCAAATTTGAACCCATGGATACCCTAAAATACTTGGATTTTCTTACTCATTTTGATCACTCTTGTTAATCCAAGTACCTGACTCTCCTTATTAGAGCAGTTAACCCAAATCCAAACCTAAACTTTCTTTCAAACCTTATATCACTTGTGAGTGTTTGTGAGGTCTTATTCCGATTAAGCTTGGTAGAAAGTGTTAGGTTCGTAACGACAGAGATAGTGTCTCATCTAGTTCTAGTTCGCATTTTTCGGACTAGATAGGACTAGGTGGGCGCTTATACTTTGGGTTGGGATGTGTTTAAAAGAAAGAAAAAGGGGTTGATTCATTGATGAGAAAAGGTAAAAGACTCTAGGTGAAGTAAGCTAAAGAAGCAGAAAAAGTCTAGTAAAGGATTTGGGATTTGTAAAGAAAAGAAAGAGTTCTTGTTAGCTATTGAAGTTGGGCAAAAGCCCTCGGTTTTAAAATGTTAAAAACAGGAACCTTAGTTGTTAAAGAAATCCAAATCCGCTAGATGGATCAGAGTGTTGAGAAAGCTTCTACTATAGTTAAGAGAAAAGAAAAGAATGATTAGAAAAAGAGCTTAAAAGATTCATGAATGCAAAGGGTAGAGTTAAGTTCTTATATTGGGATTGGAGATGAGATTACCATTAGAGCTTCATTTGATATACTCTGGGTAGATGGGATCTTATCTCTGTATGCATAGCTTGGGACTTACCGTTAGCATTCTACTAAAGCTTAATCATTTTTTGATAGAACCCCTGTTACTGAAGCCTATTCTGTAAGGGACCATCTTTGTCTCTTGACCTTTTACCTTAGCCAAATGAGTTCATTGATGATGCATTGCTTGATTCACGTTCCAGAGCTAATGAATGTTAAAGGGATTGGTAGATTTGAAAACATGTGTAGGTCGAGCATATGAGTCGGATTGATTAATAACAAGGCATGGCTAACGTTTTTGAGTAGAATTCGATCATATTGCAGCTTAGAACTTTCAACTTGGACATTGATTTCATCTGGTTTATCTGGTGTTTTGGCTCTGAGTCCCCGCTTTCAAACCTCACCTCTACCTTGTTCTTAATTGTTTGCTTGAGGGCAAGCAAAGACTAAGTTTGGGGGAGTTGATAAGTGTGTATTTTGCATGCTTTGAGCATCCATTGTCATCACTGTAGCACCATATCATCACTGTTTTATAGCATTTTTCATCATTTGTCATCACTTTGCATGTTTAGGATAGGATTGCATGCATGCTGCATATTTGTGTTGATTTCAGGTGATTTGGAGCTGTTGACGAGCTAACTGGAAGAAGCGGACCTGATCATGTCAAACCACGCGACCATGAGGTCGAGTAAAAGCTTCAAGACCTTAACAGACCACTCGACCCCCAAGTCGAGTAGGGGATTTCACAATTTCATCACATCACTCGATCCCCTGATCTGGTCGAGTGTCTTCACCTCCACCACCTGACCATCACTCGATCACTCCACTCGACCCCGAGGTCGAGTATCTTCACCTCCATTACCAGATCACCACTCGATCAAGTCACTCTACCAAGAAGTCGAGTATCTCCATCACCACCACTCGACTACCTACTCGATTGCGGGCTTCAGAGTCTTCTCCATTCCGCACTCAACTAGACACTCGAGCACAAGGAAGAAAAGAAGACTCCATCTATTCACTCGACCTCTCACTCGACCACCTGGGTCGAGTACAGTTCTTAATCCGTCCCAATACTGCGTCGTTTTGAGTATTAGGGTTTCGGAATATTTTGCTATAAGTAGCATGTACGTTACATTTTCGAGAATAAGTTTTTATCTAGTTTTATTCTGTAGACACTGTGTTCTAGACCTTTTATAATCCGGATTTCTCTTGATCTATTCAGTATTCAGTATTTCTTCTTGATTTCGTTTACTGTTGTTCATCCTGTTATCATTCTGCTATTACACTGTTGTTATCATGTCTTCATTCCATTCAACGTTTATGCTTTCTGCTATGATGTCTGAATAGTGAATAGGTTTCTGAGGATGGGTTAGAGTAGTGTAGAATTCTTAGTATGCTAGGTGGTTGAGTATTGATTTATAGAGCCTTTCTGGATTAGTTGTTCTTAATGCCTATTGCTTTCTGATCAACTGGAATTTGAGCCCAGACATTTCCGCGCTTAAAAGGTGTTCGATGAAATGTTTGAACCACTAATTCCAGAGATTCGTGGCCCTGTACCAAGGTATTGGTTGCAGGGAGCGTTTTGGCTTTAACTTGTTGATTCGTAATGCCTGTTAGGTTAGCTCTCGTCAATGGTGATTGAGTCTGGGACTAGGTTAACTTGAGGGTCTCTATTGCGATGGCACTTAGATTTGGTTAATGAACTTGTTGTCTAGGGATAATTTATTGAGCATGTCAATCACCTGTAAACTGAGGAAACAAAACTATTCAATAACCCCATCCTCTGGAATTCTTTATCCGATTGATTTTATTGTTTACTATACTGCTGTTTACTGCATCTTGTCATCTGTTGCTTAGTTTCTGCAATTCTTTACTGTTACTCGACCTGATACTCGACCACCCAGTTGTTTGGCAACAGACTGTGTAGTCGAGTATCCCTGTTACATTTTCTGTCTGTTACTCGACCACACCCACTGCTCTGCTACGAGCTGTGTTGGTCGAGTGTTTTATTGTTTCTGCTTGATTTTCTTGTTTTATGCATGTTCACTTAGGACTGCTAGAACACACCAAAACCTGTTATTGCTTGGCTTGACTTAGTGACTTCTGATCACATCTTGATTGTTAGCATCACACCCATTTGGATTGACAACCTAAAATACTACAACGACATGATTGGTGTTTTAGGATAATTGACTAAAAAATCTATTATCAATATTCCACTTGCATTGTCAAGTAAGAGTTGCAAAATTTTGGGCCGAAACTTAATTATAGTCCAATACATGTCTCATTAGTACACAACACAATTTTTTGGCCCGGGCTAAGTTCAACTAGTTAAAACGGTAAATCTGTTTGAACACATCTTCAGATAACCCGATTAAATTGCCATTAAACTGCAATGTTGAATGTGGCATATGACGTGCAACTAGTTCAACTAGATCATCTACGAAGGACATAAAATTCATTATATTTGACCTTGTATGATTATAGAATATTTACCAACTGGTTTATTATATTCACGCATATTATATTATTACTATTTAAATTAAATTAAAAATTTGGATAATGATATTTAAACTTAAACAACCCCTTCAACTCTCTAGAATAAATAGTATGAGATGAGCTAATATGAAGAATAATAAGTGAAACAATATTTTAACGAATATGATTTTATGAAAATCTTGAAAATACAAAATAGTATAGAGAATTCATGTGTTCAACTTTTAATAAGTTATAAACATACTAGTCTAACTGAAAATAAGGACAACATGGAAAAGTCCAACTATGTGTATGATACTACAAGTGGTCAACTATGTGTATAATTCCATTTAATAAATACAAATGAATATTATTTAGGTCCCACATTTTATGGATGCGATGCAACAAAATACATTTAAATGGGTCCCAAATTGATATAGGGAAAATTTAAAAATGTTTAAAAATTCTAGAGTTTCACACTATTTATTTGGCCTTTCTTTTATAGTTTCATCTTCACTCTTCATATTCCTGTTCGAGCAAGATATATAGATCGGCAGCGAGGCATAGATTTCTTTCTTAAATTACCTGCAATTTGTTTCTATGAGTCTCGATTCGGCTAAACTTGGTATGCATCAACGTGTTTTGTAATAGCCGACTCTCGATTTAGGGTTCTAATGGTTTAATTTTTAAATACAAGATCTTAGTTTTGTTTATGTTATCTGTGAAGTAAGATCTGTGTTTGTATTCATGCCAAACAAGTATACACAAAGCTAAGACTCAAAAGCAAATGTGGATTTCAGTTGGGTTAGAGCGGGCGGTAATTGGGGTGTTCCTAGAAGGTGTTATTGTGGAAGAATTGTGACACTGACATTGCGTAGAACTGGCACTTATCAAGGAAGAAAACGATACAAATTTTCAATGAATGTGACTGG